TTTTTTTTTCCCATTATCAAATCTACATGCTGTCCCCTTGTTTAGCCACTGAAAACAGAATTAGAATGCCCATCTGATAGGACAGTTAAAAGGATTGCAGCGAAAAGTTTGCTTGTGGCCTATTAATAAAAGTGCTGACTTAACCTTGTGTAGTGTCGTAACAAAACTCCAAGGGAGCTGTGTGTCCGTGTGTCATGCTAAGCACATGCTCTAGACTGAGCTGCACCCCTTCCCCTATCCCCTGCCCTAACTGTAAATGCTGAAACACTGCACAAGCAGAATGGAGGAACCGCCCTCCTTCCAGGGCCTGGTACTTGCCTTTCAAAACTAGGAGAATCCAGCTTGGAGTACAAAGGCCCATCACAGTTCACAGTGGCGTAACAAACTTATGTAGCGCCACAGATACACAGCCATCTCTTTCCCCATTTCTCTTTCCTACGGATATTTGTGTGGGCCTCTTTACCAGAAGCCTCAGTACAGTGGTCATGGTTCAGGTTGGTCCAATTTCCACACGAGAAAGTAAGTTTCTGTCGGGTAAAAGGTACTCAGAGAATTTTCAGTGCATCTAAGTTTTCCCTCCATAACTGTTTTGTATCAAAGCCAATGGTGTTCTCGGGGTGTGTGGCTAGTGTCGGTGTCCCTAATTCCTTACTCAGAAAAGGGGTGAAATGTGGGCCCTAACTTCTGTATTGTCAACCTGGAGATAGCAGCAATTTGAAACATTCACAGGTGAGTCTTGGGGAAGGGGCCCTTGACTCACTTGGCTGCTGGTGCCATCACACCTCACCAGGCTATCAGTGCACACCCGCCTGCAGGATTTGTCTGTCCCTACCCCCGGTGCTTCTGCGTGAGGCCCAGCCCCAGAAGAAAGGCTGTTCAGGAGCCTATTTATCTGCCATCGTTTGAATCTAGACTGCCCACAAAAGCCCGAAGTTAAAAGGTTGGCATTTGATTTTGTGCTACTGGGAGGTGGTGGAAACTTCGACAGGTGGGCCCAAAAGGAGGAGTTCTGGGACAAAGACCTCAAGAGGGTTGTGCACCTTGGTGCCTTCCCACTCTCTCACTGCTGACCATGAAATGAGTGTGACGTGTTCCTGCCATGACAGGCCCCACGCAAAGCTACAAGACGGGTCAGCCACGGACTGAAGCCTCAAAAACCAAGAAGGACCCTAACTCCTTTCTCTTTAGATCCTGCTGGTCCCCAGGTATTTGTTATAGGACTAGAAAGCTAACAGCTGTTGCTCTACATTGCCCCCTGGATATGCCATGCAGCTGAAAGTTAGCATGTGCCACACGGGAAAACTGGTATCAGCGAAAAGCTTGGCAGGTACCTCGATGTTTGATAGCTATCTTTATTACATTACCTGAGGTGTTGAGGTTACCAGCACTACCAAGGAATTGGGCATCTCAATGTTGAGATAGATCTCAACAGAAAGGATTTGGTTTCTCGTGGAACGTGTGAGAACACGCTCGGGTTTGAGCAGACCAAAGTTCGGAGATGTTCCCCTCTAATTTACTAGGCGAGAGACTCACACAGATTCCACCGGATTCCTGGCCCATCCCAAAACGGCAGATTAAGAGTCCAGAAACCGTTATTAATTCCTAAGTTTGTTTTCTTGGGGTGGCTCCTTTAGGTACCTGATCAGTCTATTGGGAATCTATTGGAAATCCTAGACGGATCCCTCTTCATTCATACCTTCGGGGCCACCAAACATGAAGGGTGGTGAGCCTTTCTAATGGGGCTGACCTTTCTAATAGCTTAGCCTGGTGTGAGTGTGGGTGGCTGGATTATGTTGTTGGGCTAATGATCCAAGGGAGGTTGGACTGTGGTTACTTTTGGTTAGCCAGGAGCTAGATGGCAACATGGGCCTTGAGAACTTTTCTCTTTGATGGGTAATTAGGAAGAAAAAGGTGCTTTCTAAATTGACTACAGTTGTCTCTCGGTATCCGAGAAGACTGGGTCCCAGACTAGCCAATGTCTAAAGATGCTCATTTCCTGTCATAAACCACAGGTTGGGGTGATAGCTGTTGGGGGTCCACCCTTGATAGAACTAGCACGTTCCAGGTAGGAGCATGAGGATTAGAATTATTAAGCAAAAGGAACAAAAATATGGGAAAAATAAAAGACAGAAACACAGAACAGCACTGGGAGAGAAATTCAGTGAATATTGAATTCGCCTGTGTTTATTTTCCACATGCTTATATACTCCACTCCAAAAGGATATAAGGAATAGACCAAGTATCCTGCAGGCAGCCACTCCTGGAACCTCCTGCCAATCTCCTTGAAGGAGCAGGAATAGCCTTGAATTCTCTGACCTTGGGTCAAGTAGAGTGGATGCACCTCTATACTCAAAACACTAATTAACCACCCCCTAGGTCAGGATTTCTTATTTGTAGGCACAACTGTTGTCAACGACTCTGAGAGAGCAAGAATAAGTTCAAACTCTGACCTTTAGTCAAGATGGAAGGGACTCACCTCTGTGGGCCCTGGCAAGTTCTTATATAAACCATGTATGCAGTAGCATTTGCACAACCCCCCCCCCCAACATCTTGTATGTTCCAGTTCGTCTCTAGATTATGTAAAGGTAATACAATGTAAATGGTATTTTCTCAAACTATTATTTTGAGAACAATGACAAAAATGTCTTAAGTCAGTGCATGTCATATGCAATCTTTATCTCAAATGATTTTAATCTGTGGTTGTTGAGCTGGTAAATACAAAATCCACACATATCTGGGTTACGCATGCAGCTGGGCAACAGAAGAAAGGTAACAAAGTATTGCTCTCTCTATTTTCTGGAGAAACAGGGGTCCTAATCTGGTCGACCCTGTCCGTTTGACCCACTTTCATCCGACCTCCTGGTTGGCATCTCCTCCCACAGGACAGGTAGACGGCAACAGCCGGGTGCATTCTGGTCCACGACCACACCACACACGCATCAGCCTGTGGTGTCCGATGGAAGGGATGCTGGCACCAAGCAGATGTCCGAAAGTAAGATTTGGGAAAACAGCCAGTTAAAAAAAAATAAGTAAACAAAACAAAACCCTAAACAGTCTGCCCTTGCCTCTTCAATGGCTGCACTTGGCACTCTGGCCCTCGATAAAGAATTCTGGCGGCAGAGGCTGGGGAGGAATTCTTTCACCTCACTCACCCCTGTCCCCAACAAGGGGTCCATTATATTTAGTTTTTCAAATTCAGTCTAGAACGCCTTCTCTAAAAGGCCAGCACTGTCACTCCCCGGTGAGAACGATGCCAAAGGTAACAGGACCAGGAATCCGAGCGACCAGATTCCACGGGGCACGGCCAACAGAGCAATTTGTACTTTCCTGGCCTTGTCAAGAGGGGCTACTGGGACAGGTTTCTACTCTTTCCTTCCATTGCTGTCCTCTCTTTCTGAAGAGGTTGAGAACGAAGTTGTCAAAAACGTCTTACTAATTTCTACTCATGAGTTTCACAGGTTTTATCTACAAATACTGGGAGGTGGGGGCTCAAGCTGGAGGTAGATTGGCAAAGCCATGCCTACCGAGCTCAAGATCCTGGGCTCATTCCCAGCACCACCCAAAACAAGGGCAGTGAGTAAAGAAACTGTGCTCAGGGGTGATTCTATTTACTCAGACTTCCTGGGAAGTGGCGTGGGGATTTTCCGAAGCCCCACAACGAGTCTTGTATTTTCTCTACACTTGTTACATGTGTCCCTATTTGGTTGAGTTATTTAATTTTTAATTAATTTTCAAACAGTAGTGTTCTAATGCCTTGGTAAGATCTTCATTTAGGTTGGTGAGATGGTTCAAACAGTAGAAGTGTCTGGTGGCAAACCTGATGATGTAGGAGTTCTATCCTGGGACTCATGTGGTTGGAGAGAACCAACTATTGCCCTCTGACCTCATGCACATTAGCTCTACCACTTGCTATATAATAAATAGTCTTTAACTGTTTTTTTTAAATAAACTTAATGAACTCACTCATTCAAAATAAAAAATATGGCTAGTCCAGATCACTCTCTAGACCAGAGGTTCTCAATCTGTGGGTTGTCACCCACCTGATAAACCTCTGTCTTCAAAACTATTTACATTATGATTCAGAAGAGTAGCAAAATCAGGGGGCTGGAGAAATGGCTCAGAGGTTAAGAGCACTGGCTGCTTTTCCAGAGGTCTTGAGTTCAACTCCCAGGAACCACATGGTGGCTCACAACCATCTGTAATGAGTCTGGTGCCCTCTTCTGATATGCAAGCATACAAGCAGGCAGAACACTGTATAGATAATAAATAAATAAACCTTAAAAAAATAACATTGCAAAGGACAACAGTTTAAAAAAGAAGAGTAGCAAAATCAGTTATGAAGTAGGAATGAAATAATTTTATGGCTGGGGGTCACCACAACATGAGGAATTGTATTAAAGGGTTGCAGCATTAGGAAAGTTGAGAACCACTGACTTGGATCATACACAACAATCTTTAGAGTCCTTCATGATTAAAGCAAGCATTTGTATTCAGACTAAAGATCGAATTTTTATAACTCATCCCAGCGATACAGTTGGCTGGTGAAAGCTCACTACCCGATGCTGAATGGTACTGGTGACAAGGAAGAAAACTGCAATGAGATGCCACTACACACTGATTAGAATAGCTAACACACACACACACACACACACATATTTATGATACAACCTAGATATTCTATTTTTAAATTTTACCTAAAAGACCCAAGACATAAACACAGAAATACTTCTGAGTGGATATTTGTAGCAGCTTTAGTCACAGTCATAAAGTGGAAATGATCCAATCAAAATGTCCAGTAATAGGTGATTAAATATAAACAATGACAGGCACACCCATACTGTGGAACACTTAGTAATAACCATGGACACATGTAGCAACATGGATGAGTCTCACAACACCATGCCAAGTGAAAGATGGCAGGCACGGTTATCTTAAACTCTAGGAAAAGATAAATAGAAAGTGATAGAAAATGGATTCTTCTGAAGAACATGTTCCTAGTGGTTTTTCTACAAATTGCTTCCAATTTTAGCCAACTGTCCTTGCATTTCTTTTTCATATATTGGCAAATGTAGAATTTCCTTTTTTTCTTGTTTGTTTGTTTTTTGAGACAGGGTTGACAGGGTTTCTCTGTGTAGCTTTGGAGCTGGAACTCACTCTGTAGACCAGGCTGGCCTCGACCTCACAGAGGTCCACCTGCCTCTGCCTCCCAAGTGCTGGTATTAAAGGCGTGTGCCACCACCGCCTGGCAGAATTTCACCTTTGAACTCTCCAGTTCTGAGTAGACTCTGCGTATCCAAGCTCTATCACAGATAGTAATGATGATTTTCATGGCTACCAGTGACATACTTAGGCAAACAGATTTGTGCTCCTGCTTTAATTAAAAAAAAAAAAGATTCTATTTATTCTTACTTTACATGTAGGTCAGAAAGTGGGGTAAGGGGGAAGTGGATTCCTTGGAACTGGAGTTAACACGTGAGAGCTGGGAGTGAAGCCAGCTCCTAGGGAAAAGCACTGACTGTTCCTAGCTGCGACCATTGCTCCACATCTGTGCCCTTTAACAGATAAATGCCTTGGGCATTATTTAACCCAACTCCTGTTTACTTTGCTAAACATTGGCCACCCTGAAGCTTCTGTTGGGAAATATTCATAGCTCTTTTGGAAGGGCCCTATTTGTTATTCTGCAAGACTGTTATCTAAATGACTTCAACTTCCCTTGTTTGGAAACAGAATTTTGTTTTTTAAAAAGTTATGTTAAAAACAGAAACAGAGGAAAAAAAACAAAACAAACAGCAACAAGAAAACATCATTGGTGGTAGTGGTACACACCGAATCCCAGCACTTGGGAAGTAGAGATAGGTAGATAGATCTCTGTGAGTTCAAGGCCAATTTGGTTTACAGAGTGAGTTCCAGGACAGCTACACAGAAAAACCCTGTCTCAGGAAACCAAAACCAAACAAAGCATCATGAAGATACATCCAGATCAGCCAGTTTCTGAATGTTGCTAGAATAGAGTGAAAAGCTTGCCCTAGTCTAACTGCCTGATGATACAAAACAGCACCGACAACAGATCAAGAACAAAGAGAAACACATGGTGAGTCTGCATGAAAGGATTTACTAGTTGGTAAAAACACTAAAAAGCAGGATTATAAAGCTAATTCCATTAATGAATATTTAAGGCTCATGAGCAGTTCTCGCTACTCCTCTTTACCCCTGAATATTCTGGGAAACCACACACAACGGACACAAATCCACGTCTTCCAATACTCAGTTGTAAGTGGGAAGTGGCTCCACTGTGTTTCCAATTACTTAGAAGTTTAAAATTCAAGTTTTAAAATAAAGGCATCCAGACTCAGGTCACCATGAAGCCTTGTAAATACAGAAACATTGTAAAGACAGTGTGTAAGTGAAGGCTCCAGTCACGTTCTAGTCAGATGAGAACACATGTCCCACATAGTAAACGTGGCTCAAAGAATAATCCGCCGTTCACGTTCTAGGCAGACTTCAGATACACCTTCATTCCAAACATCAGTTTCAAGTACCTTTGGTTTTAATTAATAAACACTTTATTTTTTCTTTGTTAAATGAGAAGGCACAGTCTAAAGGTTCTGTAAGCACAGCACTCCTAAGAGGATGGTGGTTAGATCTGCGATGGTTAGCACCTTCTGCCCACAGAGCAGAAACAACGCTGTATGAAACCCGGAGCATGTGATGTCTCTTTGGAGCTTGAAAACCTCGTAACTACTTTCCACAGGAACACACTCTTGACACTGTCCAGTCAGAGTTCAGATTCCAGAGTAACGATCCCTCCAGTTTACTCTAGCATTAGACAGCACCAGCACGCCTCCGGGTCAAATACTATTTGAAAAGTAGGTTGTCCAGCCAGTCTGATCTCAAGAACTACAGTTCCTGGGGAAAAGTAGAGGCTTTGATCTTGATCTTTAAGATTCTTGACACATGGGGGGAGTGCGAGGGTGTTGGGAAGAGGGGCGGAAATGGAAACTTTTATAATTTAATAAAATTACTTTAAAAAAAAAGATTCTTGACACACATAATAAAGTATAGCTGCCACCCCCAAAGTCCATGAGATTCTGTCTGCACAGCTGGATTTTGAGTCATGCTTTGCAGCTTCTCAGGTTGTATATCTGCTTTATTTTAACAATGCCACCTTTAGGTATTTCTACTCCAGAGGCCCATAGCAGTGTGAGCATTAAAGAGCTGAGTCACAATTGGCAGTGACTTGAAACAACAGCGGAACAAAAGGAAAGAGGGTGGCTTCCAGTGTCACACGTTCAGACTGCAGGAGCAGCAAGGAAATTCTTCACCCAGAACGTGAGTGCTGGGGACTACAGACACGCAGCCCAGGCTTTGCTTACACACAAGGAAACCAAGCACCGATAGCCATCCTAAGTTTGTTCTTTTGTCTCTCGGTGTCCATATTAACACTTGAACGTGACTGTGACTTAAATTAAAATATTCATTCTCTGCACAGTTCCATGGTCACCTTTCAGACTGGGGACACACATCTGTGTGGCTGTAAGGCAGGCACTGGAGTGTGAACGGCAGAGATTGTGGAGGCTGACTTCCCAGCGCCTGTCAGTGTTACGGTGGTGCCAAACCAGTGCACAGCGGGAAGCGAGGAGGCAGGGTGCTTACCCAGCACTTCTTCCTCACAGTGCCAACCAGGAGGAAGGGCAACACAGAGGCACGAGGAGTGAGGGCGGCTGTGAGAAACCATCCGCAGAGGGTTATTTAAGGCTGTTGAGAAACTTGGCGTGCTCTTCACCTCTTGGCAACAGGGTCTCTCCTCCTATCTTCGGACCAGTCTTCTCCTAGAAAAAGGAGAGTGCACGAATAAGAAATGGGTCACCAACTTAATCACAGATTAGAATGCGAGTAGCACACAGGAACAGATGCCATCTGGAATGCCCCAAGGCCAGGTGCTATAGCTTTGGCACTAGCTTACTTTGTCTTCTCCCACCATGATTCGCTGCCTCACCACAGGTCCAAAAACAACAAGGCCACAGATTAACCAGGCAGAAACTGAAGAACTGTGTACTAAGTAAACCTTTCCTCCTTTGAAGCTGATTATTCCAGGCAATGTTTGCTACAGTAATGAAAAGCAGATTATCATACACACCTTTAGCATCCCATCCCGTTCCCACTTGTAGAGGCCACAATTACTGAAACAGAAAAAAAAAAGGCTTTACTCAGTAGTAAGGTATTAACAGACTCCCAACTCCATACACATAAAGATGGGGGGGTGGGGCTGGACTCCGGGGAAAAGTTGTCCCTTCATTAGCTGTTCAAGGAAGTACTCATTATATTCCCATCTATGGTTAAATTCGGAAACTACTAACAAGCCTTGAGAAATGGCCTTCAGCTACTTTGTAATCTGGAGACTTCAGACGACAGTACAACAGGGCAATACACACCCCAGTGAAGAGCACAATCTAGGCGGTAATTTATGTTTCCCCGAGGAGAATGCTCTGGGTCTAGGGAGAGCACCATTCTCCTAAGTGCTGTCTGCTGGAAAAGCTCCTGTTCTTCCAGCCACGGGCTGTACACACTGCTCACCCTAGTGAACACTCATCAGTCTACCACACTGCTCACCCTAGTGAATATCCACCAGTTCACAACTGCGCACACCCTTCACCTGGGCAAGTGGGGGCTACTTTTCAGGGGTCCCAGGTAACAGTCTCAGCCTGCGTGTTATCAGGAGCTACAGGAAGGTCTGGGGCGATGATCTCATGCCCCAGGGACCATAAAGGAAGTGCCGCAGAGACAGAGCACCCGGGCAGTTCTCCTACCTGCAGTGCTTGTTTGGGAGCCTGTCCAGGGAGATGGTCCTGTTTCCACAAGGACATTTGAAAAACCTCTTCGTGCCATCGTGCCAATGGAGGTCATGCTGTTCGCTGACGCAGGTCTCCAGTGGCTTGAAGTGGGTGTAGGCACACTGCACAGACAATACAAACCACATGTGCAGTGAGAGGCTTGAAGGAGGGACTAGGAGTGGCTAAGAGTCTTCCCTCCACAGTCTGTCCCTGCTGGAACTTGATCAGCTCTTCTTCAAAGGTTTTCCTTTTTTTCTTTTTTCGAGACAGGGTTCTGGAGCCCACACTGGTCTCAAATTCATGCTCATGTAGAGTCTCCTGTTTCTACCTCTCAAATACTGGGATTGGAGGCACGGTGTCACCACACCAGGCTCAAGTGGATTTCTTGATTCTCCTTACACTGTTTTTCCTAATGCCTGCCCATTTCCAGCTAAGCAGACACATATAATAACATTATTCTGAGATGTTAGGAAGGTTGAGCTTGGAGGTGCCTGTCTCTGTACCCAGCATTTGGGAGGTTGCAGCAGAAGGGGAGCAAGCTCAAGGGCAGCCTGGGACACAGTGAGTTTCAGCTCAGTTACATAGAACCCTCCAAAATAAATAAATAATTACACCCCCCCTTTCTAAAAATGTTTGGCTAAGTTCCCAGAGATAGCAAACTTTGAACCACTGATACACCAGGGTGTGTCGGAACTTAACAAATAGCAGTAGGAACAACTTTGTCCTAGCGTCCACAAGGCCAAATCTCCCTACAAACGCTCCACTGCATCACTATCACGTCAGGCAGGGAGCCTGAACTTTGTCTATTTTCCAGCCTAATTAAATGACATTACAAGACATGGCCCCACATCCCCACATTCATAATACCCTGCCAACTTGCCCCCACACAGAAAGGGGCCACAGCTTTGCACGCACCGTCCTGCACGTCACTACTCGGCACTTCACTTCTCTGATGTTCCTCATCTTTTCTTCCATTTGTTCTTTTTTCACTAGTGGCTCAAAATAGGATTTCTGTAGCTCAGCCTCGGCCTGATGAGAAAACCCACAGGAGTAACTCCAACAAATCCAATAATGCTCACAATAGTTCGAAAACCATCAAAACAGAACTGAAGAGACAGGCAAAATGTCAGAACCCTTCACAGAGTAGACCAACTGCAAACCAATGATCATAATAGGAAGAAAGAGTCCTTAAAATATGGAATAAAAAGATCTAAAGACATTTGGTCTTTAAAACAAATTCAAATAAATCCAGTGACATTATTAGAAATGTCAGTAAACAGACTGCTCCAACAGATTCCACAGAGGGAAGGTGCACATGGCCCCACGGGTGGCCACCCCATCTGCTAGGTACTGGTCTCTATAAGTGCTCAGGGCACAAGAGCATCCCAAGCAATTGGAGCAGCAGGGATGAGGGCAGGGGGCTGTATCTAAAGAGTGATGACACTGCTTTGGAGCTGGCGGAGCTGCACATGGTGAACGTGCAGGTTACCTTTGGGGAACACACAGTAGTTCAGCCTGCAGTCTTTGAGGCTGGCTTTGTTATTCTGAGTTTCAGTCCAATGGAAAGACTTATAACTCCGTTGTTAGGTATTAATCAATTAGAAGAACAGATAATTAGGAACAGTGGTACTCCCCAGAGGACAGTCTGGGAACCTGCTATCTAAAACTGCTACCTCCAGCCCAGCAGGGTCAGGGTGCTGTTTTTTCTGCACTCCCCCGTATGACGGCAGCATTCACTGTCCTACACAGATATGCTGTGCTTTAGGGAACATGTGGATAGGAACCTGACTATAACATATAGAACAGAACTGTTTTCTGCACAGCGTGATGCTCTTGGGTATGGTTGATAAACACGTGACTATTCTAAGAACACGACTAGGCCGCTCCTGTGTGCACCGGAGAAATGCTTTAGTTCCCAGGATAACTCACACTTGCTCTGCTTGAAGCCTCATTTCAAGGCTGTCTCATTTACACTTATAGATTCAAGCCTCTGACTATATTATTTCTCCTAGGGTAAGCTATCTCCAAGCATTTAAAGGATGAAATAAGTATTGTCAAAAATATTTTCTTGTTCTCTCTCATATTCGTTTGTACATCATAATGATATCTTGGAAACTGTAAGTACAGGCAATTTATACTACCCATGAATTTTAATATGGATGCTTGTTGTTAAAGGGGATTGGGAGTGATAGGGTTAATTGTTGCCTGGATGTACCTGAAATGTCAATATAAAAATGTGTGAATGGAAAAAAATTCCTCTTATATTGCAGAGAAGAAAACAACAAGTAGTAAACATTATTTCCACATAACACAGCCAAGCCAAATGTAAACTTCATGATGTGGCAGTCTATTTAATAATACATCAATTGTTATTCTTCACAGCAAGGACAAATGCAAATTTAAAATGTTACTTGAGAGTACCAAGCAGATGGCTCAGTGGGTAAGAACACTTGCTTGTAAGTCTAACCACCTGAGCTGGATCCTTGGAATCCACATAAAAACTAACATGCATCTGTAACCCTAGAACAACGAAGGCAGAAACAAGAGAAATGCCCAGAAGCTTGTAGGTCAGCTAGCACACTAGCACAGCAGCTGAGCTGTCTTCTGATGCTCACACACATACACATACACACACGCACACACACATTCCCCATCTGAAATACTCCTGCTTCTCAAAGCGAACCACACAGCCCTACAGACCCTTCTTCACCTGTGCAGAGAAGCAGACAGTCCAACCAGCACCATGATTTGAATGACACTGATCTGATTGCTTAGGCGCTTACCTCTTTTAGGATGTCTGTGTGCTTAGACTTTGCTTTTAGAATTCTCTGGAATTCGTCTGATTCTAAGTAGGCAAGTTGCTCTCTCCTTTTTTTCCTGGCAGGCTCCAGTTCATCTTCTGCAGAACATTAGCGATTACTGAGAAGACCGAGGGAACCAGTGCGCCTCACCCACCAGCTCCCTTCCCTTTCCGAGCCTTCCAGGCTCTTCAACCCTGACATCGGGACCCCACTTGTAACTGGCAGGGGTAACTTCAGGAGTGGACAGAAAGTGGGCACGAGGGGCTGTGATCCCATTATTGGCAAAGTAAGGCAAGAGAATTACCAAGTTTGAAGACAACCTGGGCTACATAATGAGGCTTTGTTAAAAACAAACAAAAAAACAAGTAACCAAAAACTAAGCAGAGAGGTAGAGCCTAGAACATGAGGTGGAGCATGCCAGACATGAAGACTGAAGACTGTCTTTCACGTCTGAGTACGATGATAGAAAAGAACACAGATTTGACTTACAAGCCCACTTAAAACGACATTTAGCAGCTCCCATGTTTTTAAAAATAGAAACAGCAAATTAAAACAAAGGAATTCCATTCCTTTCAAAAATCTTTATGTTAATATAAAATGCATAGATTCAGTGAACAATCCTTTCCTCACGTGCTCAAATTGTACATAATTCCATTCCAAGTCAGCGTGTCATACAAGAATAACTGGATGAGCCAGGCAGGTGATATGTGACTGTAAACCCAGACCCCAGGACACTGCAGCAAGAGGAGAACTGAAATATTTTGGGACCAACTCAGAACCAACACAATGCCAGGGTACTGGCGATGCTTAGAGTACTTCTTTACCAACAGATCTGCCTATCCCACTACTGACTGTGAAGCTGCAGTACCTTCACGAGAAACCATGTTGCTCTTCTCTGCACGCTCCTTCACTTCCAGCACATCTTGGGGACACATCTGCTTCCTTACAACACTGTTTGGATCCGTTTTTGTAAGAATCTGGCCTTTTGCCCTTAATTTTGCAATAGCAGCTAACTAGAAAAAAAAAAAAAAAGGAGTTGAGATGAGACAGAGACCTGTAACCTCAGCCCCTATGTTCTCTAGCAGAAACTGGGCTGGTAAGACGGTCCTGTGGGAAAAGCTTAATGATCCGAGTTCCATCCTGGGAACCCACGTGGTGGGCAGAGAGAAGCTCTTTCTGCAAGTTGTCCTCTGACCACCACATGCATGGCATGTGCACTACACACACACTAAAAAGAGCACACACAATTACTAATATTCAACAGAACAGAAATAGGTCTGTAAACAGATAGAAAGAGCTAGGCCTGTGAATGGTATTTCACAGAAATAAGCACTATGAAATAGCAGAAGTGTGCTTAGGGAAGTTGTTGGAAAGCCAAATGCTCTAACATAAAACACTTCAGAGATATACTGATTTGATACTTACAGGCTGATGAATGATAGAAGAAAAATATTAAGTGTCTTTGCTGCTGTAATTAAACAATTATGTTTAATTTCTGTAACTAAACCATTATGTTTCTCTGAGAGTAGAAAGTTATGCATATAGCAAAACCACGCAAATTATAATATAAAACAGCATGGACTCTGAACCAAGATGTTTCACAGTGTTCATTGGTGCTGTGTGCTGGGATGTGCCATGGGATGTGTGGCTGGTTGAAAAGCAAGCCTGTAGAAGTCTCTCCATCAACATGGGCAAGGATTACCAGGAGCAGCCTGGATTCATTACGTGTTTGACTCTGAATTAATTTTCTGACACTGTGTGCTCATACCTTTTATCAGTAATAAAATTCTCATGACTCATAACTTTAGTCACAAAGACCCCCTAAACATAGTTGCAGTCCTGGTTAAGAAGCTAGATTTCTAACCATTATTTTGCAGTTTTATCTCAACAATTACAGGATTTTTTTTTTTTTTTTTTGTCTAAAGCTACTGTCTCAAGCTGTAGATAGTATCTTCCTGAAGGCTGTTTCTTCTAGACTCACAAGAAAGTGTACTGAGATAATGGCTCTCACTTTCTTGGATTAGATTAATGGCATTATGCTGACACCATCATCAGTGCAAATTACTTTGAATCTATTTAGGATGATTGGTAAACAGCTGCTAAGTGACCGTCTTTCCTGGACAGTAGCACAGGGATTCAAATGCAATCTCTAGTCACAGAACACAAAGTTAAGCAAGGAAAACAGAAGCCCGCAAAACCAAACACACAGACAAAACACCTTGGCATTTATAGTACATATGAGTGCTTGTGTGCACATGCAAAAGCTTGTGGAGGGCAGAAATGGACACCAGAGTTTTTCTTCCTTGATTGCTCTCACCTTATTTATTTAAAATTCATTTGTATGTCTGAGAACCTGCTTACCTGTGTGTGCACCCTGTGTGCACAGGTGCCCTGGAGGGCAGAGGAGGGTGTTAGGCAGTGTGAGCTGTCTCGTGTAGGTCTAGGATCCTCTGCAAGAGCACCCAAGTTCTCCGACCAGTGACCCACCTCTCCCCCCAGCCCAGAATGGCTGGTCAGCACGGGTCCATTTGTGTGCACTCCCCTCCTCCACTAGCACTGCAGGCAGCCGTGAAGCCTCGCTTTTTACACAAGAGCTAGGGATCCGAACTCAGGTCCTCATGCACAGCAGCGAACACTTCATTACTGAGCCGTCTCCTGTACCCCAGCTACCTTTTTAGCTTCTGCTGCTGCACTCAGCTTTGGTCTTGGTGGCGGAGATTCATCAAAAAAGAGAACATCATCCCCTTCTGAGAAGCCTCTTCCAAGCTTAGGCATCCGTGTGGCTGTGGTTTTTTCCAACCTGGGGAACTCGGCCCCAATTCGAGGAGACTGGGCAGCAGACTGTTGAGACGAACACGGCACTGCTGGGCTCTGGACTCCACTTGAGCTTTGAAGGAATCTTGAAAGGAATATGAAGTAACTAAATATGGGGCTGGGCATGTCTTTGTCTAGCATACTCCAGGTACTGGGCTCCACCCCACAACCAAAACCCAAAGTAAATAAATGTAAGTAAATATACTCCCAAGGCTCAAAAACCTGGAAGTCTAGAACTCTCAGTGGACTGGGAGACCCTAGACAAGCAAGAGAGGACAACTAGTTGTAGGTAAACAACTTCCTTTCTTCGGTTAAGAATTCAAATTAGCAACTAAGAACCACAGCAGCTTTGCTCACTCCTGGCTAACTGAACGCCGCAGCTGTCCTAACCGATGACTGTTTTACCAACCGGCTCTGCAGCACACACTGACAATTGCGATGTGGAGGTAGCTCTGTGTGTGGTTAGCTGTAAGACCCCCAGGGCCTCATGGAATCTCCCTGCTTTTCAGCTTATCCTACAGGAAAGGAATACCCTTCACAAGGGAGGGGTGAGATGGTGTGATGGCAGCGGGGTGAAATGACTAAAATTCCTTATAGATATGCGTGGAACCGTCAAAGAAAAGGAGATCCTTAACAAGAATGGCACTGCAGCCTACACAGTGATTCCTTGTACAGACTTAACATATTAGGAAAAAGATTCAAGCCAGGTGTGGTGGCACACTCCTACACTTGGGAGGCAAAGCCAGGAGGATGATGAGTTCAAAGCTAACCCAGGCTACATGAGTCAGGGTCTTACAATGTAGCACAGGACCTAGAATAGACAATTCTAAGTTTCATCAGTGTCAGGGTTACAGCATGCACCACGCTGTCTGACTTAGAACCATCCTTCCAATAATTACCTAGTTACACTTTACTTAAGACAACTTCAATGAGAGAACATTCTACACATATATGAAACATCTATTCAGCGATGATGGGGAAGCTCAACCAATCACATCTGGTTAGAGTGTGGCCACCTGGAGCCCAGGTAGAAAAACCGGGAGATGTAGAGAAACCGTGTGCCCTCTCTGCGCGGTGCCCGCAGGACCTACCAGATTTCGAAACTCCCATTCTTATGGTGTAAGTCTCCCCCTCTTTAACCATTAAAGTATTCCTGTTACTCTTGAGCTAGCCTGGTTACTTATCATACCGACCTAATTCGCCAACACCAGCTCTGATCAATTATAGCACAAACACAAAAATTAGATGGTAAGTTTAGGAGATGCAAAAAGCACAAGAAAAAAAACTCAGTAAAGCAAAAGAATTTCATATTTTATAGTTGTTTGCAACATCCACAAGATAGTGCCCTACAGTCTCAAGAAGGATGTGTAAATGTTTTCCTACAGGGTCACACTGTTGCTCGAACTTGTAGCCCTCCTGCCTCTACCTTTAACGGTTGGGATTATAGGCATGTGCTACCATGCCTGACACTTTCAAAATAATTGCTATGTATGTATGTATGTATGTATGTGTGCATGCATGCATGCCCAACACAGAGTACATACAGGAGGTCAGAGGACAACTTGTGGGAGTTGGTTCTATACTTTTACCATGTTGGCCTGGGGATGGAACTCAGCTTGTCTGGCTTGGTGGCAATCATGTTTACCTGTTGAGCCACCTTGCCAGCCCATGTTTGACACCTTTAAAATAACAAAGTCTGGGGCTTTACTTCGGAACCACCCCACCCAAACTTCTCATTTTGCAGATAAAGTACTGAGGTCAAGACCATTGTTCAGAAAGCCTCTTCTCACCTTCCTTCTTCCTTCTTCCCAGGGTCATACCTATTCCCTGTACCAGCAGGCTCTGGGAGCAGCAGCCTAAGCTAGAGGCAGACAGCTCAATGTCATTTAAGTTAGAACAAAAACAGCCAACCCACATCGGCAGCCCCATTCAAAAACCAATTACAGTGTGCTGAGGGGTCCTGGGTAAGCTATCCAAAAGGGAGTTGAACTACTCCTTTACCGTTTCTGTATCTCTTCCGACTTCCTCTTCCGCATTTCTAGCATCTGTTGCTTTTGCTGCTTCAAGAGGGCTGACGCGGAGATCGACTGGATGGCAGGTTTTGGACTCCCCATTATATCTAAAACACAAGCCACATACTAGGGTTGTGGGGGAGGTCTGGAGAACATGGGCACACACACCATAATCACATCTGACTGTACCTGAAGACTTGGCTTTGGCTAAATGCTTTAAGTTTCTGGCTCCAAATGTGGGCAGGGCCATCAATTCCCTGAACTCCTCGGAGCAAGACAAGCTCTTCTGGGGAATTCCTGAAATATGCAAACATTAATTCTAGAGGATTCAGAATTTCAATGGCTTCATATCATGTGACATCACCTTTTCAACACTATAGTCATAACTTAGTAACTAGTTAGTGAATAAGATGGATTACTCAAAGAAAATGCAGAACTTTTAACTTAAAGGTCAGTCGAGTAGGACAGCAAGGGGATCGTGAATATCAAATGCTAAGCCCCCAAGGTCTGTGGGGCCCATGGATATGCCATGTCTGGAACAGCAGGAGTAAGAGGCCATGCAAGTAAGTTACTGGTCACCCTTAGGACCACGGTCCCAGTAGACTCATGCTGCCACACCTACGCCTATTTGGACAAAATCAGCCAGGAACCTGACACTAACCCTGGATGCTGAGAGCCTGACCAGCTAAGACTTGGCTAAGATCAAGTTGCAGGTTTTCCTTACTGCTCGTCACCAAGCTTCTCCTCCTATAGCCTATGCCACACTGGCCACCGTGTGATGAGTGGCCATGCATCACTAGAGAACATAAGCAGGCCATAACCATTCTTAACCCCCAATACTGCATCTACCGGAGACAGACGATGGGCACAGAAGAAAATTACCGAGCTTTTGTTTTGTTTCCTGGATGATGGAGCTTGTGCCCCTCACAACCAGATTAGTCAGAGTGGTCTGAACCTTCTTCTTAGGAGCTATAGCTGCTGCCCTGAAAAGACAAGAGCCACCAAGGCAAGAATCACTGAGCTGCAATGCCTTCAGAAACAAACCATGAAGATTTTGTTTTTTGTTTTCCAAGACAGGGTTTCTCTGTAGCTTTGAAGCCTATCCTGGAACTAGCTCTTGTAGATCAGGCTGGCCTCGAACTCACAGAGATACGCTGCCTCTGCCTCCTGAGTGCTGGGATTAAAGGAGTGTGCCACCACCCAGCACAAACCATGAAGATTTGCATGTGTTTGTTACCAACTGCCCAAGTTTCTCAAGCCGCACACAAGCAGGCTTTGCTAGCCATAACTGAGTAGTCAGAGTTCTGGTTTGTACACCAAACACAGATGGAGAACAGGCAACCTACAGATTTGCTTGATGTCTTGCCAAAGGGTCAGAAAAAAAATGTCAGTACTGTGATACAGAAGCCTCAAAATTTGTCTTAAAATAATTAATGCCTGTTAAAGTTTAGTATTTGTTATTAGAAACTGGGCAGCGTGGCACAAACATGTCATCTCAGCACTAGGGAGATGGAGGCAGGAGGTCAGGAAGTCAAGGCCAGGCTTGACTGTGCCCCTGTGTGAGCTTCATCACACATGTACCCATGAAGTTAATGGTTTCTAAGAGGTCTGCAACCTCCCTCTATAATAATGACAACAGAAATAGTAACAACGAATAATAGTAATAAAGGGAATGACTCAAGGGATGCTGGCACTTTTCCGATTTGATCCAGGAATTCACACAGCCTAAGCTGGCCTGAAATTCTGCCACAGCTGGGCATGGAGTCCTGATCCTGCTGACTCCATCTCTTGACTGTTTCCTCTCCCCGCCCCCCCCCCCCCCCGACAGGATTCCTTTACATAGTCCTTGCTGCCCTGGAACAACTAGCTCTGTAGACCAGGCTAGCCCTGAACCCACTGAGATCCGCCTGCCTCTGCCTCCTCCCAAGTGCTGGGGAAAACTGCCTGGCAATTGTTTTTCACTTTAGAAAAAATATTTATTTTTTTATGTGTATATGTGTGTGTGAGTGTAGGTTTGTGCACAGTGAATGCAGTGCCCAGAGAGGTCAAAAAAGAGCAGGGCATCTCGTGAAGCCGGAGTTACAGTGGCTGTGAGCCTCCTGGCCTGGGTACTGGGAAGCAAACTCAGGTCCTCTGCCAAACAGTTTGCCCATCTCTCCAGACTACTTCCTCCATTTGGGAAAGGGTCTCCCTGTATGGCTTAGGTTGGCCTTGGGCTCATGTTCTTTCTGTCTCGGTGTCCCAAGAGCTGGGCTTGCAAATGTGGGCCACCCCACCCAGCTAAACATGAAGCATGGGCTCTATGTTCAAATCACATGACTCACTTTCCATTCATTCTGAGTGTACCCCTCTCTCCCTAGGAACGAAAGATGCTCTTAACCACTTTGGCAAAAATCCTTTCCCAAATGCAGCCCTGAGAAATGTCTTACATGGACGCTGCAAAGGATTCAGAAGAAACCCCACCGTAGTAGAAACCATCTTGACACAGCCGCTCTTTCAGGCTGGTGCCTTTGCGGAACTTCTTTGGAATCCGTCCCCCGGAGAAGGTCGACTGCAGATCCGACCGCTTTGCACTAAGCTTCTTGTACTGGGCCTGGATGTGATACTGGCAGTATTCGCAGTCATGCTGTTGGGGAAGAGCACCCGGTGAGGACGTGGTCAGCTGGAGGCGGTGGAGCCCACTCTCCCAGAGCTCCGGTTTGCTCACCGGTACAGCCCCAAAGTCTGCCCCTCGTAACTGAGCCAAAACAAAACCCAGACTGACAGACTTGAGACCCACCAAATTAACAATCTGTGTACATGGCTCTCCATTCTTCTTCTTGGCTTTACAGGTTCCCAGGTCCATAGCTTCTCCCATAATTAAGACTTTTTGAGGATGATCAATAGATAAGCACACCTGTAGAGAAAGGTTGCACAAGCGCTAAAGGCCTTTATCCTAAGAATGGGTAAAGATTTATTTCTGCAGCTGATTTTGGAAGGCATTTTCTTTTTTCTTTTTCTTTTTTGGTTTTTCAAGACAGAGTTTCGCTGTAGCTTTGGAGCCTGTCCTGGAACTAGCTCTTGTAGACCAGGCTGGCCTCTAACTCACAGAGATCTGCCTCCTCTGACTCCTGAGTGCTGGGATTAAAGGTGTGTGCCCCCTGCCCCCACTGCTTTTGGAAGGCATTTTTGAAGCCAGAGCTCTATGACTGAGGAGTGCAAAAGACTCTTCCGCTCCCTTCTGTCTAACCAACCTTTCCTTCCTCTTGGTTACTGGAATTCTGACTGTCCTGGCTGGTCAAGTGCTTAGCCTCAGACAATGGATGTAGTAGCCCTGTTTTTCCAGCATTCCTTACAGTCAACAATGGTCATATGATAAGGCCTGACAAATTATACTGAAAAAGGAATTGACAGAAAAATCTTGATTTTCCACTAAAAAGAGCCAGGCTGGCTCACCTTCCTTCATCTTGCCACCAATGGTGGTAAGAGGCCAGAAGGACAGTCTCTGAGTGACCTCGGCTGACTCAACTCTCCCAGTCCCTGCTGCCAATTTTCAGGCAGACCTACCAAGAATACAGGCTGAGATAAGAAGGAATGTTCTCAACTGCCTGGGCTCTGTCCTTGTTTCCAGAAGGGGATATCTTGTCACTTGAGATAAGAAGGGCCAGTGGTTACTAGGTAACAAAATCCAGATCAGAAAGCTTTTAAAGTCCCCAGCTAGCCATAGAGCAAAGTTGGCCACAGGAAAGACTCCATCTACAGGGACAGTTCTCCTTAGTCTAGAGAGATGAGGATCCAAGAGCATAGACTAATTCTTGCAGCCTGTCTGTAATGGAACAGATTTACCTATCTGGATTCACACTCTGGTAGCAGAGTCTGTGCAAAACTTAATGCCAGATCTAGGAATTTTAGCAGAGAACACCAAGCTAATCAGAGCCCCCACAATCCAGGATCAGTAACGAATGACTATGATTCCCCTTCCAGGGTGGGGAGACACAGTATTCTGCTTCACAGAGAGTCAGTGGAAGGCAGAAACTCACTGTGGTAGTTAGAGAAAAACAATGCCCCCATAGGTTCTAATGTTTTAATGTTAGGTCCCAAGTTGGTTGAAGTATTTTGAGACGGATTAGAAGTTGTGGCCTTGTTGGAGGAGCTATATCACGGGTGGTGGGCTTTGAGGTTTCAAAAGCCTACACCAAGCCCGTCTCTCTTTCTGCTTCCAATTTATGGATCAGGATGTAAGTAAGCTCTTGGCTACTGCTATAGTGCCAAGTCTGCTTGCTGCCATGTTCCCCACTATGATGATCATGGACTCACCCTCTGAAAATGGAATCAAGGTCCCAGTTAAAGACTTTCTTATATAAGCTGTCTTAGACATGGTATCTCTTCAGTGATAAAAAAGTAAATTAAGATACTCATAGAGATATGACATCACTAAATCACCTATTTCTAGATGTTTGTTTGTTTGAGGGAGGACAGGGCAGGGTCTTACTGTGTATTAGAGGATGGCCCAAATCCACCACATAGCCTAGATTGGCTCAAAACTGTGACCTTCCTCATACCACAATGGACTTACAAGAAAAGTTTGGCTGGCTAGATGGTTCAGTGGTGAGTTCAATGTTTGGAATCCACATGGTAGAAGGTAAGAACCAATTCTGCAAGTCATCCTCTGATCTCGCCATGTATGCTCTGACACCCATTGCACCCCCTTCCAGTCCACAATAAATCAAAAGTAGTAAATTTAAAAAGCAAGACAAAATAAAAGAGTCGGGTGGTAGTGGCGCACGCCTTTAGTCCCAGCACTCGGGAGGCAGAGGCGGGCGGATCTCTGTGAGTTTGAGGTCTAGAGTGAGTTCCAGGGTAGGCTCCAAAAGAAAGAAAGGAAGAAAACAAAGAAAAACAGTAGTTTGGCATGGTAACTTACACCTGTATTCCTAGGACTTGGGAGGCAGAGACAAGAAGTCTGCTGCTAGTTCCAGGCCTGCACTGGTGATGAGAAACACACACAGGCACACAAAGGAAAAAAGAAAACTCATCGTTGGACTTTGTTGTTTTGGTTTTATGTATCTGGATCTTACCTTGTAGCCCAAACTGACCTTGAACTAATGGCAATAATCTGGCTTTGGCCTCGGAACTAATTTGATTACAGGTGTGAACTATCACACACATTTATATCTCAGTGTTTATTGTTTAAAAGAAACTCTACTCAAGTGTTTTTGTTATGTATGGTCAAACACACCCTCACCCAACAGATGAAGACTTCACTGGGTCAGAATTCTCTAATGGGTAGAAAAACTACCCATTGCAGGTCACACTGGCTAGCAATTCCCCAGGAAAGCAAAGTAACCCAGAACGCTACTGACGATGGGAAGGATAGAAATTTGCTTTGACTCTAAGCTCCAGCTAGAACTGTAAAATTAATGAAGCAAAATTCATTCAACTGCAACGCACTGATCTCTTGATACAGCCCTGGAAATTTATGCAAAGCTAAGGAACCCTGAGTGGGAGAGTTCAATCAACTCGAGCTGGCGAAACGGCTTGGCAGGTAAAAGTGCTTACTGTGCAAGCCTGCAGGGCAGTTCCCAGAAAGGCAGGAGGGAAGAGACTCCATAAAGCTGTGCTTTCATCTCCACACATGAGCTGTGTCACACACATGAACTCTCTTCTTCTTTGATAATAAATAACAACGATAATAATAAGAGTTAACTCTGGGAACTGTGGCACTAATTCAAAGCGATTTAGAATAAGTAGATTCGCAGACTATTGGTAGGCATGAGCCAACAAAGGAAGAACCAGAACAATGGGGCAGGATCAGGAACAGCTTGGAGGTAGATTAAAACAGATGTTTCTGATAAAACACTAAGTGTATGAGCCACACCGTCAAAGCTGATATTCTTACCTCCTCGGAGCCTTCTTTGGGCTTCATGGGATTTGCATTGAGCAATCCTATGACAGTCCCTTGCTCTGTCTTCCAGAGATCTTTGTGGACTTCTCCAAACAAGAACAAGGACACACACCGCGTCAGGTCACGAAGGTCATTTAGTTTCCAGATGCTAAATGTTTTCCCCTGGAGTGAACAGTGTTACTTTTAATCACTTTTGAATCCTATTTTAGAGTGCCTCCATTTAGGGTTCAAGTGTCTTATTGTGGGAAAATATTTGAATCTAATTCACCTGAAAGAAACGGCTGTCAGAGTGCTTTCAAATTCTAAGCTAATTTTTTCTTTGGGCTTCAGTGTTTATTACCTGCCTCATTTGGGATGAAAGAGAAGCAAGGCAGGCCACAAGCAAACTTAGCAGAGGGTCTAACTGGTTTAAGGGCCAGAGCTTCTGTCCAGTGTCACAGTACGTGGCTGTGTGTCACAACTTCCCACACCCACCCTAGTGACACAAGCTATGGCGTTATCATTTCTAACCCAATCATAGGACTAGATACCGGGTAACTAATTGTCACCAACTACGCTACGTCGCTGGCATGGGCGAAAGATCTCAGCACCTCTGGATTGTCATCTTACAACCATGGAGATCTCTGGGATTTGTGGACTCAGTCTCTCTAATTACTTGGCCTTCTCCACAGGAGAGATTAGTGTTTTAGGGACTAACACAAGTGTCCCTTAAAAAGTGACAACTGAAATGCAGTAAAAATGACTGGACAATAAGAAGGCCAGCTGGCTCTCAGTCAAGAGTTTCCTGCTAATCGTACCATTGGACACCAGCCCTTGGACAAGCGCTGACTAGAGGGTATTTAAGAGGACCAACAGGCAGCAGCTGAAGGCTGGGTACCCGCCGTTAGCCTGGGCAGGAGCAGCTTACGCTGTTAGTGCTCTGTGGAGTGACTTTTCTCAGGATCACCCCAAATGTCACCCAGTCCGTTTCTTCCAGGTTCTCAGTTGCAATCTTCTCCTTGATCTGAGACAGTCTGATCAGTTTCCGACCTGTCATTTTCCTGTTCATTTCTGTGGAGGATACTCGAGGTCGCCTGTGTCAAGAAGCCAGTAATTAACGGGTTATTTTTCTGGTAGTAGACTATCTGGTACCTTACCAGATGGTAAGGGGAACATCGGGGCAGCAACCTCTTCAGTGCTCAGGGAACTTTTGTATAATATGGATTTAGCATACATTTATTTTTACTTAGTTTTGGTTTCTTGGGACAGGAACTCAGTATGTTGCTTAGGTTGGCTTAGAACTCATAATCTTCCTGCCTCAATCTGGCTAACGTAATCTTTTTTTTTCTTAAAGTGGATTAAAAAATAATTATCAAAGTGAGGATTACTTTTCCCTGGACATAGATATGCCTATAAAGTTTACTTTATAATCCTTTGCAATTACAAGAAATTATAAGAAGGTACTGCTATTCTGGTTAAACTATCTTTTTTTGCTTTGAGACTGCTTCACTTTAATAGCCCAGGCTGGCCATGTAGTCATGCAGGCTAGCCTTAAACTCTCAATCCTCTTTCCTTAGCTTTCTGAGTATGGGAATTAAAAGTATGAACCATCACACCTAAATTACAAATATTTATATATTTAAAAATAGCCTAGGATTCTAAACCTGCACCAAGAGTCTAAAGTGCACCTATAAAGATGGGAAGTTTTACAATAAAATCTGTATCACTGTTTTGATCTGACATCGTCTGATTAAATATCTATTATTTGTCCATTTTCTTTTAAGAGGAAAACATTCTTTTTTGTTTTCGGAAATAGCGTCTCTTACATAGCCCTGGCTGCCAAGGAACTCACTCTGTAGACCAGACTGACCTTGAACTCACAGAGATCCTCCTGCCTCCTAAGAGCTGAGATTAAAGGCGTGCACCACCATTCCTCACAGTGTAGCCGTCTTTAGACAGCCACATCACACTGCCCGGGGGTTAAAGATAGCATGGTCCTCTGTGCTGCAGAGTTCCCAGTCTGACAGGACACAGAGCCATCTAGTGGGACATTACAGCTACTGACCTGAGTCGCAAGCCTGAGAAGGCTTCCACGGAGACCTGGGGAACCTGTGGGGCCCGTTCCTCAGAATTCCCAGGGGTTCCTGTGCTCTGATTTCTAGTCATCCCACTGGGTTTGTTTCCAGGAACGGTTTGTGGTGAGGATGCACTTTTTGGTCTTGGAGAGGAGCTTTTGGGCTCTAGAAAATTGGAAATAACCTGTAGCGGTTGTGAGGGTGCGCTTGTCCTTGAAGACGACTCTAGAAAATTAGCATAACAAGTGGAAAGAGAATGACTGAGAGGCATAAACCTGCTTATGGAGTTCTTTTCTAATCAACATACGGGATAATTTTTGTTGCTGTTTAGAGACTGGGTCTCACTGTGTAGCTGTTCCTCCAAATATTGGATGTAGGCGCGCACCAACATGCCTCAGGCAAACAAATCTTGAGAGAGAAGACCAAATCTCTGCAGTGCTGCCCAACAGAACTTTGTGTGGAAATGGTTGGGCAGCTCACAAATGCTTTTAACTCCAGCTCCACGGGACCCAACACCTTTGCGGGCATAGGCATGCATACACACACACACACACACACACACACCAGCAGACGATGTATTTTCAACAAGGTGAAGCAGTGAGACCCAGTGAGCCTTGAGTACCATACCTGCAGGCGTCTTTGGCGTCCTAGCTACCCGCTTGGCTCTGGGCAAAGCAGGGACATCAAGCTCTGCAGAAAAGCATGCTGACTCCTGGATTCTCCGAACTTTCTTTTCCTTAAGAGGGGGCTGAAGAGATGCACCTCCTTGATTGAAAATAAGAGAAATTAGGAATGCTACGGTTTTGACAGGAGTTGAATAAAAACAGTAATGTTATTGTTTCCTAGTAACAAACATGCATATTATTGCTAGAATTAAGTCACATTACCAGGTGATTTGTGCAAAAGGGCTACACTTGGAGGCTGTTTAATTGATGCTGCCTTTAGCTGCTCCTGTAAGGATTTCATTTGCTCTTGCAACTTCTTTAATTCATCTATGAGAGAAAAACATACTAAGAATCAGGGGGACAGAGTACTGTACCTGACACAAACACTGGCTATATTTCTACTGTCCTTGGCCCAACCTCGAGATTCACAACACAATCCTGTCTCAGTCAGGGCGTCTATTGCTGTGATGAAACACCATGACCAAAAGCAAGTCGGAGTGAAAAGTGTTCATTTGGCTTACTCTTCCACAGCACTGTTCATCAGCAACAGAAGTCAGGAAAGGAACACAACCAGGGCAGGATCCTTGAGGCAGGAGCTGATGCAGAGGCCATGGAGGATGTTGCTTACTAACTTGCTCAGTCTTCTTTCTTGTAAAACCCAGGACCACCAGCCCAGGAATGGCACTACCCACAGTGAGCTGAGCCCTTCCCTGTGATCACTAATTAAGCAAATACCTTACAGTCCAATCTTATGAGGCATTTTCTCAATTGAGGTTCCCTCCTTTCAGATAATTCCAGCTTATGTCAAGTTGACAGAAAACTATCTAGAACAAATCCCATACTTCAAACTCAGGAATAATTGTTACATTTCCAAGAAGTTCCATACAGAAACAAATGTTTTATCCCTAGTAATCAAGCCTTCGACGCTTGGGCTAGCTATGCGCTTACTCTACTAGCTGAGCATGGCGGTGCATCCCTGTAATTCCAGCATTCAGGCGACTGACGTGACAGCCAGGAAAAGACCCTTCCTCAGAAAAAACAAAAACCCCAAACAAAACAAAAAAACAAAAGAGGAATTTGTACAGACACCTATCACAGAAGTCTGTGGAAGATCAGTTAGAGCTGGCTGACGAGGATGTAGGGAGGACCTGGAATGCTGAAGTGCAGACTTTAAAAGCCTCATTTATCAGCTCATTACAGTCCAGTCATGTGTGCGCACGCACACAAGGGCTTTGTTGTCAGTCTTCTTTGATTGCTCCTACTTTTTTGAGGCAGGGTCTCTCACTGAGCTCACAGACTGTGCCAGGCTGGCTGGACAATGAGCCCCAGGGTCCCACCTGTCCCCAGCTGCTCACACTGAAGTTACAGACACACACCACACCATTCAGCTTTGAAGTGGGCATTGTGGATCTGGACTCAAGTCCCCATGCAATTTACTGGCTGAAGTCATTCTTCTAGCCTTTTATTTATTTATTTTAAATAAAGCCATCGGTCACCACTCTTATACCTGTAGTTATTTTAAAGAAAACTTGTGGCCATCTACTTTCTCACAAATAAAATAGAGAAAGCAAGCAATTGGGGTACCTTGCAACTCCTGATTGGTTTTTTCTTGGCTGGGAGCAGGAACAGGGAGGACCTTGTTCTCAACTTGCGAAATAGAAAGTTCATCATCGGTTAAATCCCCCACATCGCCAAAGAGAGTGGCCAAATTTTCCTCCTGGTTTTCTTTCTTTCCCTCTTCTCCACTGTCGGGCTCTTCTGTGTAAGATTCGCCATCGCCATCAGCATCAAAAAGCTCATCAAATTCATCAGGCTCACGGTCCTCGGGAGACAAGGAGTCTCTCTCTTCTGAGTGACAAGGCAAGGCTGCCTCGTTCTCCTCCAGCAGGGATGCCAGTAGAGACAGGTTGTCTTCCTCCACTAGAGGAAACGGGAAAGTAAGTCTACCCCGGGAAGAATGATAGTGACAAGCACACCTTACTCAGTCAGCACTGACACTGCAATAGAAACAGGCGCCAGATCTGTCACTCGGCTGGTGGTTGTCGGCCTTTTATATTCTTTCCTGCCCCTGAGAGCTTCTTAGAAGACACTGAGCTAAGGGGAGAGCAGGGGCCAGGCACCGAGCAAGAACTTCTTGCGGGCACTACTTTAAAGAGCCGCCTTCCTGCCATACCAACTTTCATGGAATTTGACCAAGGAATAACTGAAGAACACTTAGACATAGATGTAGACCAGACTTTACCTACTCTCTCACTTTTTAATTGTTACTTTTAAATAAGGAAAGATATATAAATAGCCATCACCTACATTTTTGTCATATTTGCTTTTATTTGACCTTTAAAAATAAATAATACTTGGGTTGGAGAGATGGTTCAGCGGTTGAGAGCACTGACTGCTCTTCCAGAGGATCCACATTCAATTCCCAGCACCTATATGGCAACTAACAACTGCCTGTAACCCAAGATCTGACACCCTCACACAGACATATATGTAGGCAAAACACCAATGCAAATAAAATAAAAATAATTAAAAAAAGATAAATAACACTTTATTCCACTGGTGATTTCATGTGAATAATAAAATTAACCCAATTTAGAACATAGAGTTTTTGCTTTTTGAAACAAGATCTTGTCTGGGATAATCTCAGTGTTTGCTTTTACTTTGCTTGAAGAAGGCAAAGTATAATAAACCTGAGTCAAAGAGAAGTGCAGTTTCAGCTGGGCAGTGGTGGCACACGCCTTTAATCCTAGCACTTGGAGGCAGAGGCATAAGGATTGCAGAGTTTGAGGCCAGCTGGTTGTACGGAGTGAATTCTAGGACTGTCAGGGATACACAGAAAAACTGTCTCAAAAAAGAAAAAAAATGCAGTGTTTGGCAATGAGCTCAATTATTTAGGTAACAAACAACAACAAAAACCCCATAATGCATTCTATCTGCTTAGGTTCCATTAGAACCAGCACAAACTTTCTGAGTTGCTCCAAGTTGAACTTGGCTAATTAGAGCAATATTTCTTTATTGGGATTTTTCTTTGCACAAATCCCTAAAAAAACAAGCAAAATTAGAAGGACTATAAGAATTAAAACTACTAGACTAGGCAGTGGTGGTGCATGCCTTTAATCCCAGCAGCTGGGAGACAGAGGCAGGCGGATCTCCGTGAGTTCAAGGCCAGCCTGTTCTAGTTCCAGGGCAGCCAGGGCTGTTACACAGAGAAACCTTGTCTTGAAAAACCAAAACTATTAGACTCAAACCATTTCAAAAGATTTTCGCATCCAGAGTGACCTCTGAAGTCAGACCGCCCAGCTTGGTCCCTTGACTTGACAGTTTGACGTGACAAGTCACTAAACATGACTATTTTGTAGTAGAAGACCAAATGGTAGTTCTCTGTGAACCAAAGAAGAATCAATAAAACTAGAAGACCTTACCATCCATGTTGTTGAGAGAATAGTTGAGATGAGCAAGTGTGACGGCAGGCAGATCAGGTGGGCGGCCCAAGAGATGAGCAGAAGAATCTCGGCTGTGTAAAAACCAAAGAGATGGTCACTCTTGAGTTGCCTAACCCAACAGAACCCAAATCCCTGATTCTGTGGCATTTCTCACCCCCACCCCATTATCAACACTCAGTAGCATCCTCCTCCTTGCATATAAGAAGTGCTCTTACACTTGGTTTCAAATTGTGGCTATGGAGTCCCAGGTAAAGAAAGTGCAGTGTCGGGTGTGAGACAGGACTATAGAGTCAACAAAGTGTGAACAGAAACTATTCAGGCTGGGAAAATTTTAGGCTGTTATCCCATCTTTTTATTATAATGCATTTGAGGTCTACTAAATTATTGGAGCTGCGTATGAGATTCTACATAGTTCTACTTTTTTTTTTTTTTTTTTTTTTTTGGTTTTTCAAGACAGGGTTTCTCTGTAGTTTTGGAGCCTGTCCTGGAACTAGCTCTTGTAGACGAGGCTGGCCTCAAACTCAGAGCAACCTGCCAGCCTCTGCCTCCCGAGTGCTAGGATTAAAGGCGTGCGCCACCACCGCCCGGCTATGCCACACTAAGTAGCAAAGCACAGAGAAGAAGAAGAACAATTAAGACAAAAAGATAACATTGAAGCTGGGCATGGTATCAAACACCTTTTATCCTAGTACTGGGAAGGTGGGCGCAGGCTGTCAGAACATGGCCAACAGAATGATGAACAACGCCTTGGGGAACTGTGAGAAAACTCCAGGAAAAAAGGCAGAGGGCCTTTTACCTCAGATGCATTTGTTCCCTGGATTGTTCTTGGAAGTGATTTTATGCCTCCTTTGACAAACATTTGCATTCAGTTTGTAAGGCGTGTTCGTTCTTGTAAGGCACGCTGGATGTTGGAACACAGAACCTGAATCTCGATATGGCATTCTGTCTTGCTTTCAAGACAGATAGAATCTATAGTACGCGTCAGACAACCACTCTGTTCTGAGAAAGTTCAGGGAAAGGGCTGCTCTGTTAACATTTAGTATGTGTTTCCTGGCATTTATCTGCATGGTTTTCCGAACTCAAACAACCTTCCTTGGACCATCTTTCTTTGTTACGTTCATGTCTGAAAGTACACGGACACCGAAGAACAACTGTCTGCAGCGTCAAGACTGCAGTCCAGCCCGTCACTTTTTAAGGTCCTCAAAGTCCAGGTCTCCCAGACAGATCTGCAAAGGTCCACAGCAGGTGGACCTCTGAATCTGAGGCTAGTCTGGTGTGCAAAGTGAGTACCAGGACAGCCAGAGCTACACAGAGACGTCCTGTCTTGAAGAAAAACAAAACAGTGGGTAACACGGCACAACCCTTCCCGGTGCTTTGAGAAACTCTCACTATTTAGACATGGTCAAACTTGAACACAGCTCAGCTTGGCCTCCTACTCATGTGACTGTCATGATAATCAAAATGAAAACTCCCTTCTCTGCTTTCCGTTTCATGTGTGCAACTGAGTCCAGGGACTTATGATGTTCTACAACCAGCTTGCCCTTTCGTTACGTCATGCTGGCTGGTCCAGAACTATACAGACGAGGTTGCTTTGAAGTCATAGTCTACCTCTGTGTCACCACCCCTGGCTGGACTTTAGTGATTCTTAGAAATGCATCCTATTCTGTAGCTTATGCTAGTGCTATGATATGCAGTTTTAGAAAGTAAGGTTTTAACTATAGTACATTCTTGTCACTCACTCCACAGACATTTGTATGGACCCGATGAGCTAACACGTCATCCACTGGGGTATCACGACTGTAAGCTTCTTGAGGGTTAGACGCAAACTGTCTTGGCTCCTTCCTACCAGTTTCCTGCCCTGCTTCCCCCAAATCAAATCAGTATACCCTTCTGTTCCTGACAACCAGGGTGTCCTAACAATACTATGACTCCTACCTACAAAACACTGCCTATGTCTCCCACTGTTCCCCAGCTTCACAGCTAGCACCCTAATTTAGGCCACCCTGAACAAATAACTATATCACCTTCCTGTCCTGGTTATTTTGTTCCCCCACAACTGATTCCTCACACCCCAGAGTTAATTCATTCTCTCTCTCTCTCTCTCTCTCTCTGCAGGGTCTCTCACTATGGCCCCAAATTCAAAGAGCTCAACTTGTATCTGCCTCTCAAGCGCAGCAACCACCCCCAGCTACTCATCCCTTTAGTCAGTGATACTTTAGGAAAATAAACCAGGCCATGAAAATCTCTCAATTGAAACATTCTGATGCTTTCCCATTATCCTTAGAACAAAATTCACAAAGCCCACGAAGCAAGCAATGGGTACTTTTTTCTTGTTTTTATTTCCTCATCTATTCTGTATTTACTCCATTCTAACTCTCCATTAGCTTGCTTTTAGCTTCTTGAACTGCTTTTAGGCTTCAAGCACTCGCTCCATCTAGAAAGCTCCCCTGGAGTTCTTTCTCATCTCCACTTAGCTAATTTCGGTCATTCCTGTAGGTCCCTTCTAGAATCCCTTTGCCCTAGTCACTACACATCTGCTCACTATTGAGTGCTTGCGGTCTGGATCCTCATGCAAACCTCGGAGGGGTAGGGCAGAGACTACGTGTCTCTTTCTGTAGGAGCCCCGAACAAAGTACGTACACTCAATGGAGGTCAGGAAGAGAGGAGTTAGTGGGGTGGCGAGCATTTTAAAATGGTGCTCTTTCGGCAAACAAACGTACCGGCATTCAGTGGGTTATTTTAAAAAGACTTGAAAGCAGGGCACGTACGGTGAAGACGGGGTTCAGAGAAAGGGGAGGAGGATAAGAGGGGAACGGGGGTGAATGTGACCAAATCTGCATGTGTATACATTAAATTGTCAAAGATAAACTTTTAAAAAATAGAAACAAAGGGACGCTCTTCAAAAGAATACAAACTAAGAGAGGCTCCTTAAGCACACGAGCCCTCAATGTTCCAGCCCCGGCCGAAGGTCTCCAGTTCGCCCGATCCGGATCTCGCCGCCTCTCATCCTCAGAGTTTCGCACCTCTCTCCCTTGGACCCCAAACCCTTCGTGGACGCCCTGAACCCCTCACACGCCCTAGGCCCGGAATTACTCACCCAACACCGCGTCCTCTTCCCGGTCGGCACAGGAACGCGCCAAAAATTACAACTGGACTCCGCCCCGCCTCTGACGTCACGCGCCCGCCTGGGGAGGACGCTCTGATTGACTACATCGGAACTGTGCGCTGCCACTCATTCTGGGGTAAACTCCGCCTCTCAGAAGAGAAAGCTGATTGGTGTATGTCCCTCGGCGCCATCTTTGTTATGGGCAAAGAACTTCCGGTTGGTGAATCCGCCGGTTCTTGTAACTAAAGTAGAGGGTGTAGCGCCCCTAGCGTTTCCGAGCTCCAGCGTTTACCCCTCTCCGTTAAATGGGAGTTTCTCTTAAGTACTAAATACACTAGCCTAGACGTCTATCAAACGACGCTCACTGCTGCCCTCACAGGTCTCCCTGGTGTAAGTGAACGTATCGAAGTCTGAACCAGCTTTGCTGATCTTGTGTCCAGTTTAGATATTGAGATTTAAATACAGAGAGAGCCAAGTTTCTACTTTTCACTGTTTGACATACAGGAACTAACATCTCTTCAGATTTTGTTTCATTACCTGTAAAATGAGGGAAGGCTAAATAATATTTTTGGGCTCAGAAACCAATATTCCTAGGATAGTGCAGAGTTGGGAAACTAAAATTTAGGTCAGAGTTGAGAATAATTTATTAGATCATTCTTTAGTAAAATTCAAACTTCATGTATTTACATTCTAAAAAGTGTTTATACTTAGTACTAAAAGCAGTTTCCAAGCTGGGCAGTGGTGGTGCACGCCTTTAATCCCAGCACTCGCGAAGCAGAGTAGGCAGATCTCTGTGAGTTCGAGGCCAGCCTGGACTACAAGAACTAGTTCCAGGACAGGCTCCAAAGCCACAGAGAAACACTGTCTCGAAAAACAAAAACCAGAAACAAACAAACAAAAACCAGTTTCCAAATGCAGAATATTTAGCTTCCATAATAACAAAGACTTCCACGCACAATTTTGTTGTTGGTTGAGACAGGGTCTCTCCATGTAGCTCTGGCCTGGAACTTTCTATGCAGATCAGCCTTGAGTTTACAGAGATTCACATGTCTCTGCCTTCCACGTGCTGGGATTAAAGCTGTGCCTCACTTGCTTTTGTGTGGTTTTTGTTTTTTTTGTTTTTTTTGTTTTTTTTTTTTTTGAGATGCGATTTCTCTGTAGCTTTGGAGCCCACCTGGAACTCGTTCTGTAGACCAGGCTGGCCTCAAACTCACAGAGATCCGCCTGTCTCTGCCTCCCCAGCGCTGGGATTAAAGGCATGCGCCAACACCACCCAGCTCTGTCCTGTAAACTCCCTTTGTAGACTAGGCAGCCTTTGAATTTAGAGATCCTCCTGTCTTTGCCTCCCGAGTTCTGGGAGTAAAGCCGTGGCCCACCACAGCCTGTCTAGATAGACTAATTCTTGTGTTACTCTGAAGTCCCTTTTGTCCCCTGAACGTTACAGATAACCTTTGCTTCCTATGCACTCTGAGGAACAGGAAGCTATCAGTCAATCCAAGCACTCCAGCACAAATGGATGCGGAGAACTAAGCAATCTGTATTGAAACTGGTTTGGTGGTTTGAGGAAAGGGGAGGAAGTGATTTTGAAAAAAAAAAAAAAGAAGATACAGAATCCATTAAGTGTGGGATCTCAGGAAGAGGGAAAGGAGGGAGAGGTAGACAGAAGCTGGCTGGCTAACTGGGTGTCTCTCGAGGAAATGTTCTTCAGTGGGGAATATGGGAAGCACATGTCTAGGAGATGATGGGGACCATTTGGGCTTCAGAATGGCATATGAGTATGTCAGTCACTTCAGTGACATTTACCCGAGACAGCTTAAGGCAGGAGCGATTCTGATTGTTGTTTACAGACTTTGGAGGGGCACAAGGGTATGGTTATCGAGGCAGAGCATGGTGGGAGGGTGTGGTGTGGTTGAGCAGAGCTGCTCTCCTCATGGCAGCCAGGAAGCAGAATAATGGGAAGGCCGAGAACAAAGTTTATCATTTCTGCCCTCAGGGATCCACTTTCTCCAAGTAGGCCTTCCCTTCCAAAATTCCACCACATCCCACTAGTCTATTCAAACCTGGAATCCATCAGTGAATGAATCCTCATTTTCTCAAAGATCCTCTTCTGAACATTGATTCTCCTGGGAGCCAGGACTTCAGGACAGAAATTGTTTGGGGAGTACACTTCATAGCTAACCACAACACTGAAGAGAGGACCAGGAGCAGCTTGCTTCTCTTCAACCGAAGAACTCAAGACAGGCATCACTCTCTTAGAAGGAAAATGGGCCCACACATTAGCTTTAAAATATTGCAGGATTGTTTTTGATTTTTCTGTTTTAAAGGTAGGGTCTTGTTGTGTAGCTCAAGCTGACTTTGAACTCCTGGTAGTCCTCCTGCCTCAGCCTCTCAAGTGGTGGTATTACAAACAGGGATGTACCATGTAGTGATTCTTAATTTGGGGGGACAGGTGGTGCTGGGGGTGCTCACAGACCTCTTTGAGAAAATAATAAAACTATTTTTTCTTCTTTCTAGGAAAATATATACTCTCAAGAGTTTGCATGCTTCTCAATCGTTCATACATGTTTTGGAAGCTAGTCCAGATTTCTCTAAGATTAAGGGCCTCAGGTGCCTGGCAGTGGTGGTGCACACCTTTAATTCCAGCACTCAGGAGGCAGAGGCAGGTGGATCTCTGTGAGTTTGCTGCTAGCCTGGTCTACAGAGTGAATTCTAGGAGCCTCTGGTGCAGTACGCAAGAAACTGGGAGGAAGAGGAACCAATGATCAGAGCAGCCAGGTTGGGTAGGGCAGAGTTGGTGGGGCAGCCTTCCTCTGCTCCTTACCCTTCATGTGGCCCTGCTCTCATCCTCACATATTAGTGGATCGCATGCATGTGGGTTTGCTTTGTTCTAGGTATGCCATCCTGTACTGTTTGTGTATCTCACTGTCAACACGCTAGTCTTGATTGTAGTTTCCAGTGTATTGAGGTTGTGTATGTATATGTGTGTGTGTGTGTGCGCACACACACAGAGTGGTTAATGTCCCACAATAAATAATGAACACAACTGCAAACAATAGCAAAACTGTAGCAACAACCAGCAACTTAATAAAGTCTTTGATTTCATTATTCAATACTGTGTTGGCTATTTCAGGTATTTTATAATACCACCTTTCCATTTAAAATTTAGATATCACTTTGTTGATATCCACAAAATAGCCTTCTAGTATTCTGACCCGAATTACATTGAATTTACAGATTAAGTTAGAACATCTTGAAATTTTTATATGTGTACATTTTTGAAATTTTCATCCATGAATACGATGTTTTTGATCAGATTATCCTCCATGACGTTCTCTTATTCCCACCACTTCCTGCCGCACCACTTTCTGACTAACCGTCCTGCTACAGGCGTGTCCTATTGAAAACATGGTGTTTCATCAGGGTTGCTTACATGAGCACAGAGGGGAGTTATTTACTAATGTGTGGGCAACTTAGCAGTGATTACACTTCTAAGGAAAATGACTCCCCTTCCTCTGGCAACCCATTTACTGTCAATAGCTCTTCAAGGATGGGTAGGACACTGTGAGCACTTTCCTCATGCATGAAGGCATGCTGACGGGAGTCCCATCTTGTGTAGGGATTGTATCCACAGGTATCCACACTTGCTGTGAGTTCAAGCAATGGCCAGAATATCGTAGCACCCCTCCCCACCTTCTGGCTTCCCCTTGTGATATCCCCTGGCCTTGGATGGCGTCATACAGATGCTCTGTTTTGTCTCAGTTCTCAACAGTCACTCACTATTAGTCATTTATTAAAAGCAGAAGAAAAAAATGAAGATAAGCAGAGCTCAACTACATCAGAATAAAGGAAGTCTGTTTGGCCAAAGGAATAATAAGTCAAGTTGAAAGGTTCAACTACAGAATGATAGGAAATCAAACTGTGTGTGTTGTATGCAAAGTGGTTAATGTCCAAAATACCAACAACCAGAAATGGAACAAAACCAAATAATGCAATTTAAAAATGGGCAAAGGACTGGAGGAGACATGACTCTGAAGACTCACAAGTGGCCAACAGGTATAAGGAAGGCTTAAAATAACCGATCACTGGATAAACACAAAGCCAAATGACAGTGATATATTATCTCATCTCTTAAGATGGCCATATCAGAAAAAAGAAAGAAGAAAGCACGAAAACAATAAATGTTAATAAGGATGTGTGGCTGGGGAGATGGCTAAGTGGGTAATGTGCTTGTCGTGCAAGTCTGGCAGCTGCGGGGGGGGGGGGTTGCTAGTAATATGAGAGTCAGTAACTTTGATTACCAGCTTGACTGGATTGCTAAGTACTGCGGAGATTAGCAGCTTTCCCCTGAGTTTCCAGAGAGGGATAGACCGGCACTCAACATAAGCAGCACTACCCTGCCCGCGGGGACCCCAGTGGAATCAGGCATCTCTCTCTGCTCCCTGGCCTCCCATGGCGTGAGCTGCCCATTTCCACCAGACCTTCCCTTGCAGGAAATGCCAAAACCTCTGGAACACTGAGCCAAAAAAACCCTTCCTTCCTTTTCAGTTTTCTGTCGGATATTTTGTCACAGCCATGAAAGTAAAGATACCATGCATAAGCCAGGCATGGTGCTTTAATTCCAGCACCCAGGAAGGAGGCAAGTGACTGTGAGTTTAAAGCCAGTCTGGTCTACATAGTGAGTTCCAAGACAGTCAGGGCTACATGGTGAGAGCCGGTCTCAAAACAAAACAAAACAAAACAAGAAAAGAAAGAAAATAACATGTACAAAGCTCCTAACTGGTAACATGGAACAAGGTCTTAGAACACATAGTAGATTAAATAAATCAGATAACACACAGACAGCTTTTACAAGTTGTTTACTAAACCGGTGATTCCCTGAAAACCACACAGCCTTAATATACAAATTATTGCAGTCACTATTCTGTACAGTAGATCACTACGGCTTATTCCTCCTGAGATTTCATACCCTTAGATCAGCATCTTCTCTCCCTTCCCACACCTTCCCTCATGTGCCGCTAACCACCATTCAGCTCTCAACATCTATGATTTCATTTTTCAGAGTTCACATATAAGTGAGATCATGTGGCTTATTTCACTTGACATGATGTCTTCCAGGTTTATCTCTGTTAAAGTGATAAGATTCCCTTCTTTTGAAAGGCTGACTGCTACTTCAGTATATATGTGTATTGCATTTTCTTTGTCTAGGTGAATGGACACCCAGGTTGCTCTGTATTCTAGCTACTGCAGAAAATGCACTATGAAGATGGTATATAGACAGCTCTCTAATTGTCTTCATTTGAACTTGCCTTCATTTGTAATCCTCTTCATGATCAAACAAATGTAATAGCCATAGTCTTATTAAGACCACTGAGTTCTCATTTCACAGTTTGGATTTATCAGATAACTATACTTGAACAAAATGAAAGAATTTTCCCAGTAACTTCACTGAGAAAAATTTCCTCCTCTATCTGGGATACTATAGAAATCTACTTTATCCAGTATAAAATAGGAAAGAAATTTGTACCAGAAAATATAAGAAGAGAAAAAAATGTCATAGTCATTTTAGAAATGTCATTAACAAACATTGTCCCTTAGGGTGCAAGTGGGGGAATCAAACCTACCTACTGCTGAACCAGTATAGTGTTGTATTGTCTTGGAGAACAGGTAACTGTTCAGGCATGGAGATAACTGCAACTTTTGTATTTAACCAGTGGTCTTATGGTGAACAGAAGCAAAGCAGACCTTCTCATTTTCTCTTAAATGTTTTAGGAGTTGATACTGCTCACTTTTGCGACTCATTTAGTTCTTGCTAGCCTTTTAAACAGAAAATGTTTATTCTGTGTAGTTGTGGCTGGCCATGAGCTGGTGATCTCCGGTCTCAGTTTCCCATGTGCAGGAATTGCTCTGTCCCACCATGCCTGACTCTGTTCACCAGCTTAGCAGGGATCTCATCTGAACATGTACCGGCCTCTACCAGAAGGACCTGCTCCTGCTTACTACGAAGAAAGCATCTCAGTGTTGAGGTTATATTAAGTTAAATGAGCTTAATACAGAATATACATACTACAATGTTACTGGCCATATATGAGCCATGGGACAGACTTGTAGTGAAATTTTATTTTGTAATAACTGATGTTTGTAAGCTTCTACTTCATCTGGGAAGGAAATAGCTGTTCTGTTTAAAATTATACCATGTGCTGTACTAGCCCATATCCCTCCAGCACAAAAAAGACCGGCAGTATCATCACACTGACCAGCTGTAGGAAAGCACTCCACTCCTGAGCCACATTCCCAGCCCTCGTCTGGGCTGACAGCAATGGAAAGCTCACAGTGCTCAGGCAGAGAGCCAAATAATTACACATAAGACAACAAAACGCCTGCAGGTGAAGACTTGCCTAGAAAAACTACAGGCACGTTTCCTGACGATTTCATCTTCCTGCCTCATAAAGGTTCCTTTTTTTTTTTTAATATTTATTTATTTATTATGTATACAATATTCTGTCTGTGTATATGCCTGCTGGCCAGAAGAGGGCACCAGACCTCATTACAGATGGTTGTGAGCCACCATGTGGTTGCTGGGAATTGAACTCAGGACCTTTGGAAGAGTAGGCAATGCTCTTAACCTCTGAGCCATTTCTCCAGCCCCCCCCATAAAGGTTCTTAGCATATGTCATTCGAAACACACGGCTTACTGCTCTCAGTCAGTCTTAGGAGTAAACATAAAACACCAATCTCCTCCTGGAAGGGTGGTAACTAGAATCTACTAGATTCCTGTCAGTCCAGAAGATGCTCTCCTTAGGATGGGTACATTTTCTTTCTCCCAAAATAAGGATAATGTGGCAAAAAGATTTGTGTGACAACAAATAAGACAGAAGTCCAAGTCTTGGAGGAGAAAATCTGGCATTTACCAACAGTTTTGGGGAGTTGAAACAACACTCAAATGATGCAATCCATGACATGGATCTGTAGCGTGTCGATGTCCGGCAGAACTTCTCCACATTTGGGGCAAGAGTGAATCGGAAGACTCCGTGGCTGCTCCTGTCTCCAGCTCATGTCCTCGGCTCCTGAGAATAAACAAGAAGCGACATGTGCCATCAGTTCCAGCTAAGACCACTGTGGGCTGAATTTAGTAACAGTTAATGTGAGCATCTGTCAAACTTAGCAATCAGTATCTGTTGGATACAAATATATACTTTTGGCCATCAGAGGAAAATATGACTACAAATACAGAGAATTCTAAAAATAGTAACTTATGTAAACTGCATCTCAAGTTCAAGGTCTGTAAAAACATAGTTCAGAGGTTAAGAGCACTGACTGCTCTTCCAGAGGTGGGGATGAAGCACCTCTCCAGAGGCTTGTACTGGTCCTCGGAGAGTCCCAGGACTCCGGCAGCTGGGAAAGCTGTGGGACCTTTAGAAGGTGTAGCTTATCTGAAGGAAGTAGGTCACTGCTGGTGTTGGGGTTCTCGGGTACCCTGCCCCTGCTCTCTTGTCTCTACTTCCTGTCCACCACCGTGTGAACAGCCTCCTCTCCATATGTTCCCACTGTCATGATGTTCTTCACAAAACATATTCAAAATGTATCCCAACTCTAAGTAGATCATGGATCAAAAAATTTGCCGTTAATGTTGAAAAGTGTTTCTGCTTCCAGGGCATCTCTCTGACCCAACTACTGTGGACCACGTTTTTGGCTCTTTAGAGTCAAGACTAGTAATTGGTTCAGCCTGGAAAGCATCATTTTTGGAGTAGGACAAAGAAAATGACCTTTAATATACGTCTGCTTCAAAGCACATTACTTGAATTTATGATATAAAAGCCTATTAGATGACTTGTGGTAAGCAAATTTAAACTGCCTGTTACTACAGCGTTAGGGGGTCTGACTCCCTCTTCTAGTCTCTGCAAGCACCTGGAAACACACAGCACACATACAAACACACATGAATAAAAAAGAATGGAATGAATATTTTACATATCTGTGTATACAGTAATTAAAAATAAAAATTTAGAACATTTTTATTGATTTATTTTGACTATTTTATTATTTATTTTATTGATTTATTTTTATCATTTATTTTATTGCTTTATTTGAAATACTGAGGGTCAAACTAGGGCCTCAGGCATGTTAAGCAAGCTCATTATCACTGTGGGTTGTGTGGGGGGTATAGATGTTTGTACACACATGTGTGTGTGGGTATGCTAACCTGTGCGCACATGTGTGGAGGCCACAGGCTGACTTCTAGTGTCCTTCTTTGCCATACTCCAATCCAACTTTTTGAGGTTAGCCTTTCTCCCTGGTGCTGAAAGTGCCTGAGGCTAATATTTATGTCAGGCTGTGCACTATTGATCTCCTCTGTGCCTGCTCCATGGATGCATATGTTTATTGTTTGGATTTATTTTGTGATTTAGGTTTTTTATTTTTAATTACTGTATACATAGATATGTAAAATATTCATTCCATTATTTTTTATTCATGTGTGTTTGTATGTGTGCTGTGTGTGTCCAGGTGCTTGCAGAGACTAGAAGAGGGAGTCAGACCCCCTAACGCTGTAGTAACAGGCAGTTTTGATGGCCTGAAGTGGGTGTTGGGAACTGAACTTGGGTCCTCTGAAAGACCAACAAGTATTCTTAGCTGCTGGGCCATCTCCTCTAGCTCCTTTATCAATTCGTATTAATTATTCAGAACAGTGGGCTTCATTGTGATCCTTTCATATATGTTTATTAATCTTAGTTTTATTTTTTTTTTTATTTTTTTTGAGAAAGAATAGCCCAGGTTGGCTTGAAGTTCTCAATCTTCCTGTCTCTGCCTCCCAAGCACTAGGATTACAGGCACAAATCATAACACTTGGCTACTAAACTTATTTTTAACTTATTTTCCTATACACAGGCTTTGTTGGGGGCATGGGGAAGGAGGGAGGGACAGACAGAGAGGAAATACAAAATGACGTCCAGAGAGATTGCCCCAGATTCACTATCCGGGTTGCTGTGTATGCTAATGTTTTGCTGCTGGTGAAGACACTGCTGTGCTACATAAGTCACCAGTTGCGTGTGATGGCGAGTTTTCACTGTCATCCTGCCATAATCAAGGGTCACCTGGGAAGAGTGAGGGACTGTCTAGATCAGTGGCCTGTGGGGACTGTCTTGAGTCTGTTGATTAGCTGGGAAACCCACTGTGTGGAGCACCATTCCTGGGGTTTGGGTCCTGAGTTAGATAAGCATGGAGAGAGATAGCAGGGTTCTAGGCATGTGTGCATGAACTCTTCTCTGCTCCTAACTGTGGTTGCGGTGTGACTGTTTCACATTCCTGTGACCTCACTTCCCTGCAATGGTGGATGATTCCATCGCCAGTGTGGAAAGGCGAGTTGAAATAAACCCTCCCTTAAGTAGCTTCTTGTCGGGGATGTTACTACAGCAACAGCAACAAAAGCTGGACAGAATGTGAAAGGTACCTGGGATGGCCTAGTACTTAATCATTCTTATGTCTGTGACATTTAAGATGACATCTTATTGGTAGAGCATTGTCATTACCTTTTTTTTCCCTAGTTATGCTATGTCTTTGAATTTATTTTTTTTCCTATGTAGAATCAAGGATAACACTTCTCTTTTGATAATTTACTATAAACTACAGAACATTGTTACCTGCATAGTAAATCTAGCACCATGCATTTTGACCTTGCCTTGCCTAGCATTTCATGAGCATCTGGGTTCAAGTTCTAAGTAAATGCACATAGAGGCTTGGAATGAGTTGAAGAGGGTGACTCAGATCAGTGAACACTGCACTGGAGTGACATTGGCTGGTGAAGAGGCTGGTGAAACGAGAGGGTATTGGAGACTGGAATTCTGGAGCAAGAAGAGGTGCGGTATTTTGATTAGTTTGACTTGGGATCCATTCTATACAATGTAATGGGGTTTTCTTTTTCTTTTTTTTAAATATTTATTTATTTTATTTATTATGTATACAATATTCTTTCTGTGTGTATGCCTGCAGGCCAGAAGAGGGCACCAGACCCTGTTACAGATTTGTGAGTCACCATGTGGTTACTGGGAACTGAACTCAGGACCTTTGGAAGAGCGGACAATACTCTTAATCACTGAGCCATCGCTCCAGCCCCCTGTAATGGGGTTTTCCTTTGAAAACCTAGCTCATGGGTGACTCACCTCTTTGAAGCAGGTAAGCTTGCTGGTCAGAGTCACTGGTTCTCGCCCCATGCCGGCTCTGCATTTCCATCAAGGATTGCCTACTGGGATCAAAAGCAACACTATTCGTGATGCACTATAACCTTGCAACAGGACACCATTAACAGCCAATAGAATTGTGAGGGTGGGAAAGGAGTCAAAAAACAAAGCTGAAGTTCATAAGAACCAGAGTTGACTTGAGGCTGGACTTTAGTGGCAGAGTGCTTGCCTAGCATACACAAGGCCCTGGGTTTATCCACCAGTGCTACAGAACAAAACTGCACCACCCTGAACTCAGGACTAAACTGATATTCTCTCTCTCTCTCTCTCTCTTCAGGACTAAGCTGATATTCTCTCTCTCTCTCTCTCTCTCTCTCTCTCTCTCTCTCATTTATTTCTTTATTTATGAGACAGGTTTTATCTGTATAATCCTGGCTGTCCTGGAACTCAGAGATCTGCCTGACTCTAGGTTGGTGCCATCACGATCTGGCTCTAACTTGATTCTTTTTTTTTTAAATATTTTTTTTTAATGACCATTGGTATTTTGCCTGCATGTATGTCCTTGTGAGGGTTTTAGGTCCCCTGAAACTGAGGCTACAGACAGGTGTGAGCTGCCATGTGGGTGCTGAGAATTGAACCTGGGTTCTCTGGAAGAGCAGTCAGTTCTCTTAATCACTGATCCATCTCTCCAGCCCCTCTAACTTGATTCTTAACTGCTACTAATACCAGGACAGAATATGATAAAGACACTAGGCAGGCCTTTATAAAATCAGGAAATAGCCTAACTCTTTATTGATAGCGAAGTGGATGAGAGAAAAGTGGCATACTTCTGGATCAAAATATTACATGACAATTAAATATAAGAAATTATTTCACTTGCTAAGAGAAAAAAACCAACAACTCCCCCCCCCAAAAAAAAACCTCACAGGGCAGTGGTGGTGTACAACTTTAATCCCAGCAGTGGGGGTAGGGGACAGAGGCAGGCAGATCTCTGTGAGTTCGAGACCAGCCTCATTTAGAGAACAAGTTCCAGGGCAGCCAGGGATACACAGGGAAATCCTGTCTTGAAAAACCAAAATAAACAAAACCCAAATTTTCTAAAAAAAAAAAAAAAAAGAAGAAGAAAAAAGAAAAAAGAATTAAATCTTCATCAAAAGTTCACAATCACATGATATAAATAAAATTGCAGAACAATAGATACAATGATCATTTTGTAACTTAAACACAGACAGAATCAATATTATCTTCCTTAAAGAACACCATATTGGGAGCTAGAAAGATGGCTGAGCAGTTAGGAGCACTTATACTCTATCAGAAGACCTGGGTTTGGTTCCTAGCACCCACACCATGGCTCACAACTATCTATAATGCCAACTCAGGGGATTGGATATCCTCTTCTGACTTCTGCTAGCATCAGGCACCCACCCATGTGGGGCACATACAAATATGTAGGCAAAACACTTATATGCATAAATAAATCTTAAAACTTTGGCTAAAATCACCATGCAGGGATTTGTGTGCATATTTATATGTAAAAGTATAATACGGATGGTGTGGCTACTCACCAAATTCCTGGTTTTAGAGAGTAAGTGGGGTGTGGGGGGGTGTACACTGAAGGGTGGGAAACAAGAGAGACTTCAGGTCTGGCTACACCTCCCTTTGTTCCTGGGGCTGGTGAGATGCTGAGCTGGCAGAGGCACTGCTGACAACCTGAGTTCAATCCTTGGGACCCACGTGGTGGAAGAAGAGAACTGCCTCTTGCAAGTTGCCCTCTGATCTCTACATACAAACTGTGGCAAGCATCCATAGCCCACGCAAAAATGATTGTCATAAAAGTTGTTTAAAGAATTTTTAAAAATACTTGAAGCAAATGAAATAAACAGTTCATTTAGAATGGTACACATACCACTTGTGTTATTTCATTTTCTCTGTAAACATATTTTAAAACCTCTCCCAGTAAGCCAAACATTTGGTGTATACCTGATCTTCAGTAGCACTCTAGAAAGTGAGGCAGGAGGACAAGTCTGAGGTCAGCACATAGTGCCTAGCAAGTTCTAGACCAGTCTGGGTTACAGGGTATAATCTGCCTCAAAACAAACAAACAAACAAAGGAAAATATAAGTTTTTGCTGAGCGGTGGTGGCGCATGCCTTTAATCTCAGCACTTGGAAGGCAGAGGTAGGTGGATCTCTGTGAGTTTGAGGCCAGCCTGGTCTACAGAGCGAGTTTCGGGACAGGCTCTAAAGCTACACAGAGAAACCCTGTCTCAAAAAACCAAAAAGAAAAAGGTTTTAAAGTCAGAATTTGGTAAGTATTTTCTTTTAAAATTTTAAAGATAATTTAAGGCTGGGTAAGACACTGGGATGCAGAATGTTATTTTCACAGCTGATTTCAAAGCAAGGGCGTTGGCCAGGCTCCTACAGGCTTCTGTAAGCTTTGCTCTGAGCTGAACTGTGTGAAACATGAACAGATGAGGTGTAGGGAGAGCTTCCCTGATGCGAATGAGGACATGGTTTCTACAGTGGACCTCGATGAGCGCCGACCTGTCTGCCACGCCTCCTCTTGCTTTATCTTACCTGCCTCCACCCTCAAGGTCATTGTCTTACCTGCCTCCACC